ACTATAAAGGCTTGGTTTGGTCCGATATTTCATTGGTAGTGTCCAGGGTCACTGATGAGGAGTGGAATTCTTCGAAACTAGTCTGGCTCAATACACACACACCCCAATGAAAGGATAGATCATTCCAAGCTTGTACTTGTTGTTAAACAAATGTTTAAACAAATCTATTCAATGAGTAATTCAGTTTGTCTAAGACATAATTCAAAATAATTTAAAGCAGTTACTTTCGACAGAGTGAAAAATATAAATATTTTTTAAAGAAGATTACCTTAATTGTTGTGACAAGGAAAAGCCTGAATAATTTTATAAAATTAGTATAGAAACAGTTACCGCGTGTGTTTATTCTAACAAATAAACCTATTAGTGTCGGTTGTTTTAACTTAGAAATTGAAGTAGAGATGAGGCTATAGAGTCAATTTTTATTTACTTAATTATTGTCTTGGGTATTTTAGTTTTACTTTTATTGCTTTACTATTAAAACCAAATAAACCTTTTCAATAAGTAATGCAAATGTATGTTATAGGAAGTTAAGTTTCACCTAGTGTTAGGATGTTACACGCCAGTTTAGTAACATGAAGTCCGGCATTAGATTCGAAGTTAAATTTCCTGATCATGAACACAAATATTTTATAGTCAGTGTCATTTTCTGTTAAAATGTCATCATTGTCCTGAGTGGGGTATTACCAAATGTGTACGTTAAGGGAAAAAGAACGTAAATAAGCAACTTACATACATACATTAAAAAGAATCAAATAAAAGCCAGTAGACTAGTACATGCGATACATTCTACTAAAGTAAGTATTAAATGGGGCACATTTAAAGAAATAAATACAAAAACACTCGGAGCTCTCAATAAAATAAACATCTAAATAATCGTCGATCACAGAAAATAAAGAAATAATATTGTGGTTAACAGGAGTAAAACTAAATATCACTGTCTAGTAAATTAATTATTATGATATTATTTATTACACACGAGAAAAACAAAAGTAAAATAACCCCTCTACATCCATCTAAATGATAACACACTCAGTCAATCTAACATAAGAATCAGCAGAACTTGGATACCCTCCCTGAAAACATTACAGTTGTTACTTGATTTAAGTTCTAATGGGGACAGACCCTGCTCAAGTGGACAGCACAGCAGTCAACCTAACTAAGAAGTAAGCAACACCTGGATATACCTCGTGAAACATTACAACTGTTAGTTGATTTAAGTCCTAATGGTTGAGGACTTCGACGATTGGAGAGAACAATAGCCTTTCAATTTAGTCTCTAGTAATAAAAAAATATTAAATAATTAGACTTAACTTATCGTATAGACTAGTAGCCATGACACTGATGTAACTGGGACTTACGTCGAAATTCACGTATATGTGACTCTTTAAGAAAAAGTGAGATATATTTTCCGTTTAAAAATTGTTTTATTAAGGCATGAAATGCTAAAATGATATTTATAAACATAATAATAAGTTATATTTTTTTAGAAATAAAAGTTTGCAAGAAAAACAATGCCCGACATTAATCCGCACTATGCATATGTATTACCAAAAGTATTGAGACATCATTTTCAAGAGGAACAAGTCTTTTCATGTTATTCACAGCCTGAACCATGTTTATAACATGTCTTCAACACTAGGTGCACATCTATTAAAATAAAACATACTACAGTTGCAAAGCAACTTTAAGTGTAGCAGAACTTTGGAGTTCCATGCTTCCTGTCTCTTAAGTGGTGTTCCAAAACGTTCAAGAGCAGTTCAATTGAAAATAGTTCTGGTTTTGCCAAGTTAGATTCTAGACGTTAGTCGTCTAAAACCACTTGTGTGACACAGTGTAGTATAGTATGGTACATTATCCAGCAGAAAGAGATATGGAAGTCTAATAACATACGCAATACAATATTAAAAAGGATGTTACAATGGGACAAGACATTCAAATCCTCTTAACTACCACCAATGGATCTAACAACACCAGATGAAACAGGTTCTTTCCACGATGGATGACATAGTTATGGTCAACATGTTCCACAGGTTTCTGTCATGTCTAAACCCGTCCAACCAAAACACTGGGATTCATCGAGTATGATGGCTTTCATTTGTTTTTCACCCAGTTTCGAAGGTGCAAGGAACTGCGAGAGTTGATGCTTTGAATTGTCAAATGCAATGATTATTCTATGGGCTACAGCCCATCCGTGAAGTTGTCTGAGAACAGTGAGTGCACTGGTATGCATATCTAAGCTCTCATTAAATTATTGGGTGAGGGGTTTAATACTTAACGTGTGGCTTTACCAACACGTTTCAATCTGTGTTTAAAGTGGTGTATTTCGGGAGGCCAGACAGATGTTCTACATTAGCATGTCCAAAGATCCCACCACTTCTTCAGCATTTCCACTGTGGAGTCGGTGAGGTCAAATGTCTCGGACACTCATACCACCAGTTCTACGTCCAGCGACCATTCTTGTCTAAGAATCCAAATAGTAATGAACACACGAGCAGAGTGTAATACGATCTCTGAGTGTTATTATGTTATGGTCAACCCCACTATTCTTATAACTCTAACTGATGATCGTGACTGATGGTGACTTTTATGTCCCATGTAACAGGACTTACATGGGCTAGGCTCATTACTATCTGAAGGTGGGGTGCCACGTTATAATAGGATCGTATTTTGTTTGTTTGTTTATTTATTTTCGTGCAAAGCTACTCGAAGGCCGTTTACACTAGCCGTCACTAATTTTGAAGTGATAGACCAGAGGAAAGCCAGCTAGTCAACAACACCACTGACCATCAACTCTTGAGTTATTCTAACCGGATAGTGACATTCACCGTCAAATTACAATGCCCACACTGCTGAAAGGGCGAGCATGTTCGGTGATGGGTTTCGATTCAACGGCCCACAGATTGCGTGTCGAGTACCCTAACCACTAGACCATGCCAGGTTCTCCGGGATCGTATTAGACTCTTAACATATGCATATTCAGTAGGGACAGGTTCATTACTATATGAAGGAGGGACGTTCCAGTGCTGTTGACAATGCAGTGTTTATGGGATCGTATATTACACTCTTGACACGTGTTATTTCTGTTGTATGAAGCTTTACCTATCATACTGAAGTGCTCTTTATTGTGTAGGAAACAAACAACTGTTTTGATTTCAGAACTATGATGTGATATTTTATGTAGACTTATCTTGGATTATTTTCAATTATATGTTTTCTGTTTATTTTTTATTTTATTTTTTGTATTCAGAGAGTCACGTGTTTTCTTTTACTTTTTGATATTGGACCAGTCTGCTGATTTTGTTTAATAATTAAACATTCTGTTTGACTTTACAATAAAAACAACAAAAACATCACCTTTGTCGACAGATCTACAGGAAGCTCTTGAGGGCCAGTCGCACACTTTCAGATGAGGGTTGAAGTGGAGATTTTTAGGACAGTTCTCTAAAGTGGCAAAACATTTATGGCAATTGTAGAAGGAGCAACAACTGTATGGGTTAACATTTGGCCCATCAGTTAAACATGGGCTATACTTGCCACATCCATAATTCTGGTAATTCTCAACATTCGCTGTAAGAAGAACAAGAATAAGTTGTGACATTTAATTTAATTACAGTGTTTATTAACCCGCCTTTTTTCTTCTTCTTTTTTTTTTTACAAAACACTTAATCATATAATTTATTTTTGTAATAAGTTATTTAGAATTAATCAAAACGTTATAAGAGAATTCTCAAGAATGAAAGTGTAAATAACATGTTTATATAACATGTACGTTTAATTAATATATAATCAATTATTTTCAACGTTAGCAACAGTGAATACAAGTGAAGAAACAGATTTTGTCAATGTGAGGCTTTTGTAAGTTTGATCTAATTTTGATATAACCAGTGACTTTTACTTTTTTGTTTTAGAGATTGTATTGTGAAATATTTAATATTATAAGTAAAAACGCATTAAATTAAACTAAAAAATGAATTTTGTTATTAATTGCTCTAAAATACTTTATCTTGAAGAAGGTGTAGGTCGAAACATTAGTTAAGAAACTATTTTTCTAGATTTTATGTTATTCCGAGTTATTTACTCACTATTCGCTGCGTCACATATTGATCTACATTTGGAACCATAGATATAAATAACACATTCTCAAGCCCCCCAGTGGCACAGCGGTATGTCTGCGGACTTACAACGCTAGAAATCGGGTTTCGATACCCGTGGTGGGCAGAGAATAAATAGCCCTTGTGTAGCTTTGTGCATAATTAAAAACAAACAAACAAGCTTAAGAAAAGCTAGTTAAAAAAAAAGACAAACAAACTGAAAAGGGCAGAACAAGTGTTTTAATCCATAATAAAATTCAGGCCTTGAGATAATTTATCTGCTGATAAATATTTTCTCATAAACTTTGTATTTCACTAACATGCTTAATATTAAATATATTTGGTCGTACACTTACTGGTTATTTAAATAATAGTAAAGAGTCTCAAGCCTTACTTATTTGGTCACTTTCTTTTAAGGCCCGGCATGGCCAGGTGGTTAGGGTGCTCGACTTGCGGGTCGCGGGTTCGAATCCCCGTCTCACCAGACATGCTCGCCCTTTCAGCCGTGGGGGCGTTATAATGGGACGGTCAATCACACTATTCGTTGGTAAAAGAGTAGCCCAAGAGTTGGCGGTGGGTGGTGATGACTAGCTGCCTTCCCACTGCTAAATTAGGGACGGCTAGCGCAGATAACCTTCGTGTAGCTTTGCGCGAAATTCAAAAACAAAACAAATTAACACTTTTTTTCACGAATAACAGTGAAGCCGTATGGTTAGAAATCAAAACAGACATTAAATTGGTAAATACTTTAGTAGTAGTAGTATTCATTCTTATAGATAGTATCATCGAAGTAACAAATAAATATTTTAAATTCAAACCAGTGTGCTTCTCTTTTCTTAGTAAAAATACAATTTTTATCATCTCTACGTCGTTCAAGTTTTTAATATAGAGTTTTGCGTAAGCTTATTTGATGATAATTTTCACCTAAAGCAACACAGGGACTATTTGCGCACAGACGTGCGATATCTTGAACTGATACAACAGAGAGAGGCATGCAGCATTCACTGCCAACTCTTGTACTGCCCTTGTCTAACTGAATAGTGGGATTTGACTGTCACTCTTATAGTGCACCCATGGCCCCAACGTGCAGACAGAGCGCGTTTTTACGACAACGGAACGCGAACCATGAACCCTCGGATTTGACACACTCTGAGCACGTTAACCACTAGAGTAGAGTTCTTTGTTTGTAATTAAGCACAAAGCTACACAATGGGCTATCTGTGCTCTGCCCACCACGGGTATCGAAACCCAGATTCTAGTGTTGTAAGTCCGCAGACATACCACTGTGCTACTGGGGAGGGGGGAGGGGGGGGCACTAGAGTAGACCGGCCCAGACAAACACTTGAGAGTGTCGTTTTAAACAAGATAGGTTATAACGAATTTTTAAAATATTTTCAAAAATAAAATATTGTTAAAATGACAATTTGAATGTGTTCTATTAAACTTGAAGAGAATCAATGATTTCGGCCAATCAAAACGTTCAAACCGTATAACAAGACTTATCAAATCATTTTCAGCAAAATTCACGTTAGCTGTAGCAGAGAATTAAACTGAATTTCTCTAAATTTGAAGCACCGAACATAATGAAAGTAAAGTGAAAAACGATCTACATTGAGAATAGAACAAAGAGCAGCAAATGAGAGTGTAGGCCGAATAGGCAGCACTAATAATGGAAGTCTGGCTCTACACTGTCCAGGATATAGTTTCTATCATACTGAGAGAGCACAGCAATACTTGTAAAATCCTTAAATGCTATCCCATTCTGTAATCCCTCATCACTGTTGGTCAGTTCAATAGAAACTAAGGACATGTTCTCAAGGTCTCATTTGATCAGCCAATGGCAAAGATCTCTATCCACATTTGCATACCGTATTCTACTCTACTTTTCCGTGAGAAAGAGCATCTAAAGAGGAATGGTCCAGAACAATAAGCAATCTGAAAGAAAATAATTTAGCCACTTTAAATTATAAAAACTCTATTCTAAAAATCGCACACGCGTCTAGAAAAATAGGCGAAAAGTCTTGAAATTCCTAGGTGAATGTGAAAGTTCACCTAACCTATTCTGTGAAGTGTAACACTTAGCGAAAATGAAATAGCCCAGAATAGTAGGTAACTTGAGTGAAAAGAATTCAGTTCCAATACCAACGTTCTATTGTTAAAAATTCACATACACCCACATCTGTAAATAAAAAAATGTGCGAATTTATTTGAAAACTTTAGGTGAACGAGAAAGTTTATCTAAACTATTCTGGGAAAATAGTGTCTTCTTCCGAGTTAGTAGTACAAGAAACTGAAAACTGATTTTTTTTCTTGGTAAATAATTAATATCTTATATCTCTACCAGTACCAAACACTTGTATGTGACCGAAGCATGTTCGAAAAACAATATGCTTTTACTCTAGAGGCCTACCATTACATAGCGCTTGTAATCGTTTGAAACCCATCTTCAGTAACATATGGATTAATAAATAAAGTGTTTAGCATATCATCATGTTTTCAAAAGAATATAGCAAAAAAGAATACAATGGAAAGCGTGACTAATATTTCCAGACACCTCAAGTTTGGGCATGAAGATTATTGGACCAAGTAGCAAATTCTGAGTGTTACAAGAAACACTTGCTTCTAGAGCATATCGCGTAATAGGCAAGGCTCGTAAAAAAAATAACATAAATGATACTTACCTGCCAAGCTAACAAAAAGTACAACCACGGAGAACACGAAAAAAGAAGCCATCTTTAAGGTTCGAATACAACTAACATAAAACCTTCCCTTAACATCTTTTAAAAATGTATATAAACGGAAATACTAATTTTCATCTAAGAATGCACATAAACACACTTCCCGGGAGATTTTAGATTAAACCATGCAGAAATCTCTCAACTTTTTGAGGTCATTTTCCTGTTTCTTACTTACTTCCTGGCATTCTTTCCTCTCTAGCTATCGTTATCATTCCGTTTAGTTATTGTGGGAGCGTAAGTCAGTATCACTTAAATGTACTGAAATTTCTTCGAAAAATAACACGTGGCATCAAAGGAAAACTAAATATGTCATTATGTATTATAGATTATTGAAAGCGTGATGTTTTTAGTTACATTAATGTTAAATAAGTGACGTTTTATTTGATCTTTCTGGCTACTTTCAGAGTTTCACGTCAGAATTAAGAGACAGTCACAAATGAAGCCCGAACAGACTATTTTTTAATATGTGTGTGTGTAAACAATTTATTTGTATAATTTTACAAACACATTTTTTTTTTGGTTCTTGATGTTTTAATATTTTTTCAATTTTACGTTTCCAGTTGTACTAATGCAAGTTTCAAAAGGAACAAAAAATATCGCTATATAAACACGCATATCTTACTGCTATTATTTTTTTCTTGTTTGACCGAGTCGTTATTGGTTCAGCTCTAACTTAAATTCTCTACTTTATTTGTTTTATTTTTAGTACTTGCTTTATTAATGTAGAATAGCGTTTTTTACTTCAATTTCAATTTTTTGGCTTATCATAGAAGTCTTCGCGATTAATGAAACACTAGAAAATTCTAAGGTAAATATTGGATGGTGCGCTGTAATTATTTCATTAAAGAGAAAACAAAGTTGAATTCCATTAAATAAATTTATAAGTATATTTCAATTTAATGTTTCTGTATAACTAAATATATCATAGTGTTGTAAGTTATATTTTTAATGCTATAATTTAAATGTTAACTGTTGGTCTCAATGGCGACGGTAAGATCAGAAGGTATAATAAGACTGACCCAAAACACCTAGTAAACTCTAAATATGTGACATAAACTTTTCCAGGATATTCGAAAGTAGATTATACATACGGAATTGTTAAGAGAGTGAGTTCAAGATGGAGAGTGAACCAGTCAGGCCCCTCAGTGGCACGGCGGTATGTCTGCGTCCTTACAACACTAGAAACCGAGTTTCGATACCTGTGGTGGGCAGAGTACAGATAGCCTATTGTGTAGCTTTGTGCTTAATTAACATAGGCATACTACAATATACCGCATGAAGAAACGTTAATGGAGGAAGAAGAGTAATTTATTATCGTTACGTGGAATGAACGTTGAATTATTCTTAGCAAACAGTTTAAGAGAACCCGCCAACGATTGTTTTTGAATTTCGCGCAAAGCTACACGAGAGCTATCCCTAATTTAGAAGTGTAAGACTAGAGGGAAGGCAGCTAGTCATCACCACCCACCGCCAACTCTTGGGCTACTCTTTTACCAACGAATAGTGGGATTGACCGTTACATTATAACGCCCCCATGGTGTGAGGGGGATTCGAACCCGCGATTCGAGTCGAGCGCCCTAACCACCTGGCCATCCCGCCAACGAAAGAACCACGCTACTACAGTATTATGATAAACCATTTACAGTTAAAAAAAAACTAATGATCTTATGGAGATAAGAAAATTAATCACTTGCAACCTTCGTGAAAATTGTTTTTCTACCTTGTATTTTAGAGCATATACTGATTTAATAGCTGTGGATTTTAGTGACTCTTTGTCTCTGTAATATTTTCATGACCTATATGATTTAAATAGTTTTGTTTGCATCATATTTAAAGTGGCCTGCTATAAACTGTAAATACACTCTGTTACTTAATTCTTGTTACTTTTGTATCATGGATAATTGCAGCCGATCACGCGTTTTTTGAAGAACATGATTATATTATATTGTCTTACTTTTATCAAGCAAATTTTTGTGATCACTTTATGTAACTGTTCAATTTTTTGTAAGTTCTTCTATGTTCTGATAAGTGATTTGTATTACAAAGATAAATTATCAGCACTGAAAATCTTAAAGCCAGCTATAAATAATACGTATTATTATTAAAAATAATAATGTAGTATTATTAATAGTTTGTTTATAGTTATGCACAAAGCTACACAATGGGTTATTTGTGCTCTGCTCATCACGGGTATCGAAAGCCGATTATTAGCCTTGTAAGTCCGCAGACATACCGCTGTGCTACTGGGGGGCTTTATTAGTGGTATTAAACTAGTAGTGTGTTATAGAACAAAAATAACTAGGCTTCAGATAAATTAATTAAATATAAAATAGATACTAATTCTGAGTTACAAATTATCATGATACATCCATTGTTTTGAAGTGTCACTAAATGTATATATGCAAATAAGTGTTAGTAACTTATATATGGATCTAGTGCTTTTTTTTTCAGAGAACTAAACGATGACTGGCTTTGTTCAATAACATAATTAGTTTGTGTAGTGCAAAACTTGTGAAGGTAGGTATACACTTTTTCAGCTTTACATGAGCTCATTAATTTCTTTATTTCGTTTTGAAGAACTGAATCTGAAATGAAATAATTTAACTCCTGTATTTTCTACTTGTTTTGTACAAAAAAACAAGACAATTATATTGTACAGAATAAAAACTGCATAGTTTCTTTTAACCTGAAATAGCATTATTTTTTACTCTTCAACCTTGCTGCTGCCCCCAAATGGAACAGTGGTATGTCTGGGGACTTACAACGCTATAACCTAGGTTTCGATACCCGTGGTGGGCAGAGTACAGATAGCCCATTGTGTAGCTTTGTGCTTAATTACAAACAACAACATCAACCTTGCTGCTGCCCCCAAGTGGCACAGTGGTATGTCTGGGGACTTACAACGCTATAACCTGGGTTTCGATACCCGTGGTGGGCAGAGCACAGATAGCCCCTTATGTAGCTTTGTGCTTAATTACAAACAACATCAACCTTGCTGAGTAACAGGAGTCCTAGAACAGCTTCTATAAGTTCATGAGGATTAACTTGATGGAGAATAAATTTTATACTAAATTAAAACATCTTTCAAATAATTTATAATTTCATATGTAAGTATAAAAACAGTTGAAATACAACTATCTATAATCAATACGTACAGTAGATGACTGCATTTACTTACTCACGTTCAATTGAATATTACGAACTACTTGTAACGACATCAGACAGACACTGGCGGCTCGTGACCTTTGAGGCAGGTGGGGCGAATGTAAAATTTAGAGGCTGATTTAAATTTTTTATCATTTGAGAAGTAATATATATGTATTATAGTTTATTCTTATACATACAATATTACGAAAATCCATAGACCTTATAAACTTATATGTAGGTATAGCTATAGTAGGTACCCCACTGTGGCAACGCGATATGTCTGCGGACTAAAAATGCTAGAATTCGGGTTTCGATACTCGTGGTGGGCAGAGTATAGATAGACTATTGTGTAGCCTTTTGTTTAATTAGAAACAGCTATATTAGGAAAAACAATTTTTATTGTTGTTGAAATTTTACTTGTAAAGGTACTCTCTCCTTTAATTTTATTATTATTATAATTATTTTATTTATTTTTTGCGTGGCAATAAGGTTGATAACCTTAGTGATATGAATGGATAAAACGGCAGGTGCATTCATTCTGTCCTGAAACATTGAATTCTGGAGAAAAGTTTTAATTCTCCTGAGAGTGCTGAAGCATCGCTCCGATTCTGCAGCGTCCACTGGAGTTACAAGTACAATTTCTAACATCTTCGAAGTTCCAGGAACTGCATTGACTAGTCCGTTGTTGTTCAAAAAAACTTAAAGGTCACGAGGGTTTTTCAAGTGCCTGAAGGTACCATTGCGGTAGTGAACTTTCCGAAGTCTATCTTTCGTAATCATGTTGTAGTGTTCTGAAAGTGCTTACGTCTTCCTCTGGAAAGGCATCTTTATACAAATGGAACTTTGAGGGATCAACTAAGGCAAATGAATAGAAAATTTGTGAATTTTGAAAACGGGTCTTCATTTCACATATTATGACATCACAAACAGTTTTGGCATCTTGCTTCAAATTTTCCCGTGGATAACGTCGGGCTCCAGTGGCACGGCGGTATTTCTGCTGTTGCGTCATCGAGGTCACATGACTACTGTGGCGCCCTCTAGTTTCTAGAACTATCTTGTTTCTTCAGGAATG